GGGGGGGGGGGGGGGTTACATTGACTTCCTTTCCCTTCATTTCAACAGCTGAGACGCGAAACGCATCGGAGGCCAGTCGCACGATATTTGATAGGAAACACTCCGTGGCAACATCGTTTTTGTGAGGGAATCGGAGAAAAAAGTGACGCGCGATATGCAATCGCGACGAGGAGGAACAGGAACGAGGTTAGTCCTTGGATGAGGCAACGCGAGTAGGAATTGCCAGGCGACTGGGCTCGCTCGCTCTCTCTCTCTCTCTCTCTCTCTTTCTATCGCAATCGGCGCGCGCTGTGTATGCGAACGGCGTGTTTTTCTTTCGCCCGTCGCCCGCCCGCACGCACGCACGCACTTACGTACGTTGCGAATGGCACACGGTCGAATGAGAGACAGAGGGCCATGGCGAGGTTGTCGTCGCGCTAACACGCAATTAATCTCGGTGAAAGGGGGAGAGCGCGCAGATGACGCAGGCGACGAAAACATTGCGCGACATGGAACATGGAGATCGACTTCGTCGTCATGCGCGCGGCTATTCCGAGCGGCCGAGCGTTGCGAGGAAACCGCGACGGAGGAAGGCGCGCGTATACAATCAACGGCAGCGCGAATCGCGATGAAACGAGCGGAGACGGCCGCGAGACGGAGGGGCAGAAATCGGGCGGAGAGACGAGGCGAGGTTAGGCGAGGAACAAAGGAGGCGAGACGGAGGATCGGAGGGGCGGGAACGCGTCGCCGTCGTAGCCATTGTCGTCGTCGTCGAACCCGTTCTCGAGGAAACAATGCCGACGACGGCCGGACGCGACTAGTGCGCTGAACTTACGTGCAGTCCTGATTGAAGTTAACGAAGTAGGGACCGCTCTGCGGACTGTCCGACGTCTGATTTGCGAGGTTCATTAGTCCTGATATGCCGTATTTTAGCCCTTGCGTTAATACATCCAGGTTGCGCGCGAGATCTTGCATAAATCGTACGAGTGGCGCGCGTATACGCTCTCCTCCTTCGGCCACTTACACCGCGACGTTCCTCACTCTCTGTCCGTTCGTCTGTCCGTCTGCCTATCCCTCTCTCTCTCACTCACGCATTCAATCACTCTCTCTCCCACACGCACTCGTGCTCTCTCTCTCTCTCTCTTTTTCCGCGCCCTCTCCTTTTCACCTCCCCACCCTCGCGCACTGTCTATATCTGTTCCTCGCGCTCCTTTGTCCGTATCTATCTGTTTCTCCCGTTTATCTGTCCCGTTTGCAAACACTCGTTCGCGCACGCACGATATTATTACGGACGATCCACTGACTAGCTAACTGGCTAACGTCCGCGACGGAAGTGTCTGACGTCGCCGACTCCTACAAGTGACTGCACCGCTATCGTTTCATATTGAACAGCTGACACTCGCAGCTGCTGGCAGGAACGGCGGAACGCGAAACATCAGTCCGTTTCCGCCTGATTCCGCGTGTCCCGTTGCCATGGCGACCGCGCGCGCGTTTCCGTTTTCGGTCGGTCGCTCGCTCTCTTTTCGTGCGTCACGCGCTTCTTTTCTTTCTCCCTCCGAATGTGTGATGCACAATGACCACGCGTTCGGTGAGACAAAGCGACCAGTGAGCAGCCTCGGCGATCTAATCGGGGAATGGCGATGAAACTCATCGAATATCCGCCGCTCGCTGAATGCTTTGTTCTTTGAGTGTGGCCGCGCACTTTAGTGTAATTGACTTTTCTCTCTCTCTCTCTCTCTCTTTGGATTTTTCTATGGATGTTGGAAAAAGAAGCAACATATGTTCTTGCCTTCCTCTCCGTTGCCTCCGAATATCTTAGATCTTTGGCATTTTGTTTCAAATTATGCAATCGAAGGCAATAGACTTCTCACCTGCTTCGTCGGGAAGCTGCTTGCTTTAATTGCGCTTTAAATTCAGTTTAATTTGCTTCTGCTATCATTAATTCGAACGAAACGCGTGCGGAAAAGCATTATTAAGAGAGAGTAGAGAGACAAGCGAGATGTAGAAGGTGTGGGTTAAAATAAACGCGTACTTAGAAATGTGAAGTACGTCGTAACTAGTGACAGCTGGTGACTCATTTCATCAATCGTAATAAATGCATAAAGTTGCATTTTCCTGTCGTTTGGGGGAGAGTGGCGCGGAGTGCAACGATCAGCTGTCATGGCTGTCACAATCTTCGTGAAATAAGAAGGCGGATTCCTTCACCTAAATAATTCGTACCTATGCGCCGTACTCAAAGATGACAGCCGATCCGTCGACTTTTTAACACTTCACGATTTATCTGAAAGATGCTTCGAATTTTTCAGTGCAACTTCTATTACCGTATCACCGAATTTTACCATCTAACAATAAATTAATGTCCGATTTATTTATGTAGAAAGTTTCTGAAAAAGGTAAGGGGATATAACTTATATATTTAAAGCTCCGATCTCTCTTTCCTTTCAGTAAACTTTTTAATTGTGTGTGTATATATATATATATATATATATATATATATATATATATANCTGTGCAATACATGTATTTAATTTAACCTCAACGCGTCTCATATATATATATATATATATATGAGACGCGTTGAGGTTAAATTAAATACATGTATTGCACAGAGACACTTTATAAACTGGTAGAATTGGGAGTGTAGCTCGTGTGTTTTATATGTTTCAGATAAATTTAATGATCCCATGGATGCGTGATCAAATAGCAGAGGCCTGGCATAACAGAAAGAGTTCAAGGACAGCCGACCGGCGGTCCTTGGCCCTTTCTTCTATTAGCGCAGGCAATCCTGCAAGCAACGACACCATGCTTATGCCATTACCTACCTCACCTGAAAGTTTCTCCGTCAATGTTATCAGGTATGAGTTATACAAGTTGATACTGAGAATCTGAAGAAGTAGTTTTGTTCGATATTAAACGACCAAATATCCCCTATAGCATAGAGGGCAATATATTAGGTGTTACGGTGAAGCCAGACTTTACTGTAGAGAACATTAAGAAAATAGCAATGATACATTTCTACGGCCAAGATACTACTAAACCTATCTCACGCTACCGCTTGGTTAATTCATCCAAATTCAAACAGCTCGTAGATGAGCATTATGTGGATGATGAGGATATCACTGAGTATGGTGATTATCTTAATTAGGCTGTATATGTTATGTATCTGCACTATGTATATATCAATGTTTTTCTGGTTTACATCTCTCTTGCGTGTAGTAAAAGCAAATTATCGATTGTCACAGACGAATTGTTACTGGTGGAAATTCGACCAACTATTGTACAAGAGAACCTCTCAGACGAAGCTCTCCAAGGTCCAAATCTAGAAGCAATAGATCGGGCTACGTGTAACTTACCTAGCCGAAATATATCTAAACGTATGCCACCTACAGAATGCACCGCAAACGTAAGTCTCACACTTTTCTGTACTCTCAAAATATATATATTTACTTGCTCCACATGTATTTAATCCTCATGATTATTCACAGTTCCCGAATGAAATCCGTAAGATCCTGATAACCCTGGTGCAAGCGTCCGCAAAGATCCTGCTGTACAGTGCAGACGCTGGGAAATTGTACGACATTATTAAGGAGAAACTCGAGGCCAGGTGTAAGCCCATCAATGACCCGAAAGTCGTGAAGACTCTTGTAGAAATGGGCTATCCACACAAGAAAGTTCTGAAAGCGTTGCGTCTTCGAAAGTAATTGCCCCCGCAGTGAAACACTTAATATTGTCACAATGCTTGCGGAAACGTGTGCGAACAGTAAATTCATAATTTGTTCATACTTCTGTTCCAGATCTAATATGACGGAAGCTCTGGAATGGCTTATAGAACAGGACGATTCGGACGAGGAAGAAGATGAAGAAATGGATCTGCCTATGGGCACAACGGTGGATGCAAGTGGCGCAGGACCAAGTACGTCAATGAACACAAAGAAGAAGTCATTAAAAGAGGCGTGTATCGAGCTTTTCGAAGAAGGTAATCCTCCGTTAAAACGAAATTGTGCGATATTGGATGTTACCGGGAGATAACGAGTTTGAAACCGATAAAATGCACAACTTTGTAACGTTTAAAAATGTTGCCATAGAAAATCAGGATCAAACGGAGAAAAATTTAGTGTACATCGTAGATTTGCTGTTGGAAAGTTTTCGACAATACAAGAGAATGGAATTTAAGCCTAATAAAAGGGTTTATCAATCACTTGTGGAGATGGGTTTTAAGGAGAAGGATATCATCGGGGCGTTAAAAATTACCGGGAACGATCAATCTAATGCCGTAAGTTGCATTACGAATGATACATATGGTTAAATACAGTACTTCACATTTTAAGATATAAACATTTTTTTTTACAGTGCGAATGGTTGCTAGGTGGAAGAAGACGCAGTCTACAAGATCTCGACGAAGGTATGGAAATCGACGGGCCGATTTACAAAGCGATTATGAACAATCCTCATATTCAGCTCAGCCTCACAAATCCCAAGATGTTGCTTGGTAAAACAAAAAATTATTAGGAGATTATATATATAAACAATATAAATTCACACGGCACCGAAATTTGCAGCAATTTCGACAACATTGTAGAAATGTTGCTACGAACTTCTGTACTGTGTAGGTACATTCTCGCAACATGTTGGATATGTCTGAAGCCCGCTATTTTTTTCCAGCATATATATCTATGATAGAAAGTCCCACATCGACGAATGTGTGGATTAACGATCCTGAGGTTTCACCTGTGCTTAGCCAGATATCCAGGACATATCACGCCGAGAAACACGCCATCCATATGAATCGTTACGCCTAGCGCTACTGTAAGACTTACTCGAGTCTCCGTGGAACATCGATATTTTTCTATAAATTTACAAACAACTTTCGCAGAGATTTACGGTACCAGTCGCAGACTTGGTGATTACCTGTGACTATCGGCTTGCACATGATTATAGTTATATATAATTTTAATTGTATGTAATTATAATTATTGCCAGTTGAAAGGTACTACGTGTAAAAGTTTCCACAAGATTTACATCTTGCATTACGCTATCGTATACTACGGAGATTGCACATATGTTCTCTGTACGGAGATCTCTATATAGAACGCTGAAAAATTGCTTTTGACGTTGTACAAGTTACCTGTTAACAATTGTTAGAGAAAATGTGCTTTAATATATACAAAAAGCAGCTGTTGTTCTTTTCTTTTTTTATTTTCTTTCCGGCATGTAACAAATTCTTCTAGTGAAGTTCAACGCATGTCAAAGATGAGCCACTCAAATATATATTGCAAGATGTATATAATATGCTAAAAAAATATAATTCCAGAGCGTTTCACAAGTTTTGCACAGAGAATAAATGAACAAAGTTTTAATTTTCTTTTTATACACACTGATCATGAAATAGTACCTTTATTCTATTTATCAGAATAAAGCTGCGTTCGAAAACACCACACCGAGAGTAGAGTGACATTTAATTGATCAATCAGGACGAAAGGAATGAAAATTTCTTTATCAAGATTGTTCAATTAAATGCCACATTACCCTCAGTGTGTATTTCCGAACGCAGCCTAAACGGGAGGTTAATTTTATTTATTTTTTGTATAGTTCATATGTGGCGAACATCCAAAAAGAAATTTGTTTAAATAAATATATTGGTTAAATTAATCACAAAAATTTAACCGCAGTCCGCGACGTTCGATGATAATTTTGAATTTTCAAATCCTACAGTCATGGTGCACGAAAAACTAGATTCGATACTTCCTCGATCCGGAAGTGCCTTCAAATTCGAAAGCATACACAACGCCATTAGTTGCGCGTAACGCGGAACAGAGGGCGGCTTCTTCGCTTGCTTGAAGCAACTTGAATGAGAACACATCACAGTGGTGTAACAAAAATATTATTTGACAGATACGCTTGCGACACGTGTTGTAATTGGACTTATTATCAACGATGGTTTATTATTTTACAAGCGAAGGTAATTTCACGCTCTTTAATGTTATTTCTCTCCCCACTCTTAGAAATTGTTACTTTTCTCTGAGCTATTTGCTGATATAGTTTTGTTATTGTGAGGTTAGAACAATAAATGTATGTTAATTTTGAATTGCAGTGGTGCAGCCACCGGTCACGTTATTCATGGGGATCGATAAGTACGAGAGTAAGTAAAGCAGCGCGAAAAAAAATACTCATAATTAATACGTGTAAAATTACTCGCAATCTTCGATATACGTGCTCGGGCAAATTTTGTTTGTTACAGATGAAGACCTTATCAGATGGGGCTGGCCCGAGGATGTGTGGTTTCATGTCGACAAGTATTCGTCCGCTCACGTGTACCTTCGACTCCAACATGTCAGTTCAACTGTCAATCGGAGATTTAACTATGTGCCTTAACAGATAATTCATTAACAAGTTGATACGCCAATCTTTCCCAAAATTTTACAGGGCCAGACGATAGATGACATTCCTAGCACAGTGCTGGAAGATGCTGCGCAACTGGTGAAGGCAAACAGTATCGAAGGGAACAAGATGAACGACATCGACGTGGTGTACACGATGTGGGCAAATTTGAAGAAGACACAGGGTATGGAGGTTGGCCAGGTCGGCTTTCACAAAGACAAGGACGTTCGCAAGATTCACGTCGCCAAGCGGGTTAATACCATCGTGAATCGCCTTAGTAAAACCAAACGCACAGAGCAGGTGAACTTCAGTGCAGAGAGAGAACAGAGGGACAGAAATGAACGAGAGGACAAGAAGAAACTCCTGAGGGAGCAGAAAGAGAGGGAAAAGGCCGAGGAGAAGCGACGTCAGGAAGAAGCTGAAATGAAGTAAATTATTTTTGTCTTTCACCTTCTTTTCTCGATTTAATCCTATCAACAGATAACTCTCTTTCTGTGTCAGGAGCTACAATTCCTTATTCAATACGTCCAACATGACATCGAATACGGAAACCAGTGGGTACGATTCAGACGATTTTATGTGATTGGAAGCAATATTCGCATTTGCAACTTGTGCCTGATTCAGAGGTGTGTGTGTGTAGATTTCATTTCACCACTCGATTCACGATTATTATGCACCACCATTAATAGACGACACTCGTCAGATTTAGGCATAACTATATGTACACGTGGTCGCGATCGCACTATCGTGTAACGTTCGAAATTAAAAAAAAAAAACAAGCATGAAATTATGTAAAAATATCTCCGTATACGGTTTGATGACAAAAACAGGAAGAATGTACAATCTGGTCCAGAGTGACGTGATAATCGCCGGCAGTAGAAATCCCAGTTTCACAATAGAGTAACATTAACGGCTTCCAAGGCGTTAATTATCCACGTCGGGTAGTCCTTGTTCGGGTACGCCGTCAGCATGTAGTCCTGCACGAATTTGGGAAATCTCTGTTCCTTTATGCTCTCTCTGATGTCTCGCATAAGCCGCATTTGAAACGCGACGTTGTGGACAGTCAGCAGGTGGCACGACACCGTTTCGATGGTAGCGATTTGGTGCAGATAAGCGCGCGTGTGAGTCCTGCAAGTGCTACACTCGCACGCTTCGTCTATCGGTCTCAGGTCCCTGCTGTACTGCGCTTTCTTTAAATTGATCTGCCCCGTTCTGGTCAGCCCGCAACCGAACCTCTGGGGAATATATATTTATAGCTTAGTATATCTCGAACACATACACACACTTTAATATTCCTGCTCGTACATTTTATAATTCTCCATTTTCATTGCATGCTTTTTAGATAATGCGCACTCTGTAAAGTACTCACGGCTGTCCTCGTCGGGAATACACAATCGTACATATCGATTCCTAGCGCGCTGCATACAACTAAATCGACGGCGAATCCGACGCCCATGAGATAACGGGGCTTGCTTTTGGGAAGTATGTCCGTCGACAGATGCACCATTCTCCAGAAATCGTCTTTGCTCTCGCCACCGCTGCAAATCGCCAAGATCGTCACTATGCGATGCGAATTATGTACGTTATCATGTAAGGACGTTGATGTTCCCATAAACTCCGTTTTTTTGTTCCAATTTGGGGGATGTTGTTCAAACGGGCGGAACGACGGCTTTCTCACCTCAAGCCTCCCACAGCGTAACCATTCACTTCCCGCTGAACCTGCTGGCGTGCGCTCTCGGACCGCAGTTTCAGATCGAGACCACCTTGTACGATCGGAAATATGCTCTGTTCGTCCGGCCGCTCGTGCGCGGACAGGCAGCGATCCAACCAACGTGTCGTCCTGAAGTGATTTATCGGACGGTTCGATTAAATTCAGCGTTAAATATTAACACCTTGATGGAAGTATTTTGCTGAAAGTACGAAACCGGTGAAAAGTGAAATGAAAGTTAAATTGAAAAATTACGGAATATATACATATATAAATGAGTCATAAATTTCCCTTACGAAGTGCGAAGCAATACTGTGAAATATAAGTTCAAGTATATCGTTGAAAAAATAAAAATTCCGAGACGTCAGATGTCATTTAGATAAAATTTATTGAACATAACTGAGAGCTGCATGACTTTTTGAAGAGAAATTGCTGGAATATCGATTATGGTAATTTTTTACTGAAATATTCGCGTGATGATGAAATTGGATCAATCGAGAGAGATCTTCATTATATATGCTTAGTAACATATTTTCATCAGAGTTGGAAAGAGATAATTATTAACCCCTTAACTTGTACGCTCGAGTTAATTCGAACGCGCTAAACAGGCCAAACTGTGCACACTCGAGATAATTCGAGCGGCGTTGTATTTTATGCTGCTATAATTTTTCACACTCAAATATAATCGAGAATTGAAAATAACAATGTGAAAGCAAAGAAACAATTTTTTTACATAAAAAAAATTAATTTTTTTTGGCCGGTTTAAAAAAAAAATTGCGTTAAGGGGTTAAAACAATGGTTACCTGTGCATCGCCTCTTCCACTCTCGGTCCGGTTAGAGTACTCTTAACAACATCGTCGAGCTGCATAACTATGTCGGCACCAATTGCGTTTTGAATTTGAATCGAATGTTCGGGTGTCAGCATGCACTCTGATTCTGCAAAACGTACAATTACGATTATATATAAGCAATGTGTATGTATGTGTTCGTGTGTGTGAGAGAGTGAACTTGAAAATATATATCCGACTGTATGTGGTACCATCGTACGGTGACTTGAACTTGACCCCTTCCTCGGTTATTTCAGCAAAATGTAATAACGAAACCATTTGGAAACCGCCCGAATCTGTTAACAGAGCTCTCTTCCAATTCATGAACTTGTGCAGCCCGCCGGCTTTACGCAGAATGTCGGCGCCCTGTGATCAAACATGTGATCTATGATGAAACCACTTGCATAATCTTGCCAATGTAAATCCAAAACTTCCATCTCGGATGAGACCTTTTGCTCAAATTAACTAACAATCTTCATTATCGATCTACTCCCTTCGCAACAGCTTCGACATTACAGAGATATTTTTTTCCCGATTACAGTTTACAGTTTTCTTACTGGTCGGTTCCCAAGGTGATAGGTGTTGCCGAGAATGATTTGGCAATCCAATTGCTCCAATTGCTGAGGCAGCAGTCCTTTTAACGTTCCCTGAAAAACGCACGTCGTGTCCGCTGTGATGAAATCAGTGTACCGATTATTCCGACCGCTTTGAATCACACGAGAGGAATTTCGTAAACCTGCGTGCCGACCGGCATAAATACTGGTGTGTCCACATGATGATGAACAAGTGTCATCCTACCGGTTCTGGCTTTGGTGGTTTCGCATTCAGCGAATATTTCGAACGTCAACGGAGTTCCCCGGCTTCCCATCTTCGTCATCAGCGGTCTACCTAATTCCACGCTCGCTACTGTACGGTATAATCCGCACGATGGCAATTTAGACATAAGAGGAGAAAATATTTCGCGCATTTATCGTTTCATCCGCGAAGTAAACTGCAAAGGTTATGTCGAAATCGGCCAACAACCACGTGTTCTTCCTGCTCGGCCGTGATGCGGACATACGTTGTATTTCTAACTGCACTTCCTCGCATCTTCCCTCCTGCTCCCTCCCACTAATCACACGTCTGTTTCATTTAAAGTGCCGGGGAGCAGAAGAGTGTAACTGAAAATTACGACAGGTGGTAGAAATTCCGTTGCAGCCGAGGGAAGCTTGTTCGGAGTGCACGAAGTGCAGGTAATGTGTGCTCGACGAAGGACGAATTTACCGGTGCGTGTCGTCAAGATCTCTCGCGTTTCCGAGTAACTGGACGACGCGACTCTTGCACGACTCTGCGTCGCCTCAAAAGCTCTCGTCGAGTCAGTGGCGGCGAGGTTCACCGACTACGACGAATACTCGATTTGTACGTACCATGAAAATATCATTGTCCTATGTATACGGGAACGGGTGACGTTTGTATTAGTTGTTTACAGCTGGTGCATAGCACGTATATACGCGCAGGTGGTGTGAGGAAACCTGGTAAATTGCACACTGTGACGTAAAAACACACTCGAAACCTCGACTTTTCGAGAGCCTCGAGTGGAACGCCAAGCGTGTTTTATTCTGTCCACAAGCGAGAACACAATGAAACGTAAATTTAGCGCTGGGAAAATTGCTAGCGAAAGGAAAATGTAAATTCGACTGGAGAAGAAAAGGAGAGTGAGGGGCTAATATGTTGCTATCGTGTTTCTACAGGGGGAGCAGAGGATGAAGACTAGGCTCAGAGCGTGCGTTCAACGTTGATTACATGTGATGAGCGTAGTGTAAATGTTTGCACTATGATCGACTCGCCTTGGATGGACACCGACAGAAGGAGACACACCGGGAACATTCAGGAAAGAATCGCGACCGGTAGTCAGCCGGCCGACAGAGGCAGATATGAGGACTGAGGTGTCATGGAAACGGCGACTCCTGCGAAAGAGGCTGAAATACATGGTGGTGTGCGTCCTCGTGGTCGCCGTGATATTCGTGATGCACCAGCTGTTCTACTTCAAGGAACTGAATCGCGCTACCGTGGGCAAATTGATCGCCGGCTCGCTGAAGGACCCTCATCGCGTGGCCGTTGGCAGCAAGGAAGCTTCCAAGTGGCAACAGCCGCAGCATTCCAAGCTGATACGCGACAAGACCGGCCGCACCGTGTCGTTGCGCGGCTCGCGTGACCAGGATGTCACCAGGTACCTTCCCAACGCCAACGGCAAGTTCGCGTGCTTCGCCGAGAAGACGGAAATCGACTTCACCAGAATCAACGACGACTACTGCGACTGTCCGGCCGACGGCAGCGACGAGCCAGGCACCAACGCATGCAACAAAGGTTTCTTCCACTGCGAGAAGAGCTCGAAGCAGTCAGCAGGTATAATCATTGTTCTTGTATCCTCTATCGTGTAAAATTTGAGATATAAAAAGCTGTATATAAGTATATACTCTCTCTTTCTCTCTCTTCATAAAATCTCTATGTGTAAAATTACAGTGAAGGTACCATCATTCAAAGTCAACGATGGATTTTGCGATTGTTGCGACGGTTCTGACGAGTGGGTCGAAGCACCAGTGTTGTATAAACTCAGTGGTAATTCTTTTTTTTTTTTAATACAGTCTACAAAATAAGGATATGTATAAAATATGATTCTAACACGAAGATATTTTCTCGATTGATTAATTTATTAGTATCTGTTAATTTGCTTGTTTGTTACAGAAACAGGAGGCGTAACTTTTCACGGGATAAAATGTCCAACAAGATGTTAGCGAGAAAAGTGTGAGTGCCATAATTTTACATCGGAGAGAAAGTGCTGTCCTTCCTTTTTATGTCGCAGTTTCGTGGATTCGCAATGTTGCGATACAACCAAATATGAGCGATAACGTGTTATCGGTTTGATTAGCAAACTAATTATTTTTTGCCTCTTTTTTTCTTATCATAAGAGAACAATGCTTATATAACGTATGCGTTATAGATAACTAAAAGTGAAACGAAATATTGGATATACGTTAACAAGACATGCCTCATTTTTCTAGACAACACAAATCTGTTCCAGACTAGTATACAGAGGATTCTTTGTCAAGTACATCTCGAAAAATAATGTAATAATGTACGCATGTAAAAGTAGTCTTTTTTTGCTAGTAATATCATTTATATCTGGTAACATATCGATTTGTTATGCATTAGTTAGATATTCCTCACAATTTTCTTATTTATATATATATATATATATATATATATATATATATATATATATTTTATAANATCTGTAACATTTGTAAACAGACTGTTAAATATTACTTTTATTATTATTGGAAAAAATCATATATATTGAAATTTATATGTGAAATTTCCGTGAATGCAAAACAAAGTTTTTCACTTGAATTTGTCTTTTGAATCGTTAAAAATCAAATCAATTTCGACTATCCGTTTTAATTCTTAATTATTAAAAACAATTATTAAAAACAATATACATATCATAAATAATGATCACGAAAATTGTACAGAAAACAATTATATTGTAAATAATGTATTATATATGGCTTGTGTTTGATGAATTGTAGCCATTTGTGACTAGACTAAGACCTCCGGTAGACGCCGAATGAAATGAAACGCGTAGATTAGGAAACAACAAACGCAATAATTGCGTTGCGACGTAATGCGAGTTTACGACGAAATATACGATATTACAAGTTCCGCAAGTTCAAGAAATATACTCTGCGAAATGTTTCGTCGTTAAATCGTAAAATCGTAATTTGCACATAGTTTTATGTTTTTATTTTGATTCTCGAGTGAGGAAAGAATTGCAATTTATCACTCTGTCGACTTTACATTGTCAGACGATTCAATATTACGCTAAAAGCTTCAACAATTAAGGAGAAAGAAATGAGATAGCTTTATCTTACATTGCTTCCGATACAAGTAAGAACGTTGAAGTGCGACGACAAACTTCGCGCCTTGTCTCCGAAATGTAGTATTCGTTGTACAGGTACTCCCATTCTTTGCAGATTCTCATTGAAGCAATTTTCTTCCTCGCGGATCCAAGGCCGATAGGTGTCCCGCACTTGATACGGTGTGACGTGTATGTGTGTATTTATTTCTAAGGAAAATAAAAGATGTATCGAGTCGAAGTGTAATGAGATGCCAGTGTTGTTATTACTTCGACGTATTTATCCGTTGGTTGCCCTTACTTAATTTAGCAAAGGACCGGAGTACACTTTGCTCCGTAATCCACGTGTTTCTGGGGCCGTTGTGCCCAGCATCCAGCCACCACATATCTCTGATGAGCTTTGTAAAACCTCTTATATCGGTGTCGTTATTCGGGTGTTCCTGGTAATAGTGAAATTCGTGCAGGAATTGATTCAGGACCGCGCAGCCTTTGCTGAAGCCCATTAAACTTAAATTTGTCGTCTCAATATTGTAGTCGTCGATATCCTAAAAATAGGTAAACTTTGTACATATTTGACACCCACAATGATACTCAGATATTACAGACGTGAATTTTAAATATAATTATTTTGTAAGATATAACTATGCTATAATTCGTTATAAGTGAGGTAGATACATTTATCGGATAAATGGATGCACACCTCTCTCATTCTCAATGTTTTTACATGTTCTAAGCAGCACATAAGCAGTTCTCTCAAGTGCTTCAAAGCTTTGTGCATTGGGCAAAACGAGGGTGTGCCATATTTATCCCCTGATACGAAATTGTCGAAGCAACTGAATACCGCACTTCTAGTTATCGACATCCTGAAACAAGCGTGAAGTTACTGTAGAGAAAACTTGGTCGTTGATATCCAAGAGGATATTGAAAAAAATTATCTCACTAATCCTTATCGTATCTATTAATGGAACATTAATGATAAATTATATGCAATTTAAAGGAATAGTACTGTCTATATACAGATGATAATTAATGCTTTACCTGACTGGACGAATAACAAAGATATGACTGCTGGGAAACTGTTCGGAGAGAATAGTTGCGGTATTCTCCAAACTCCATTTCATGTATTCCTTGCTATCCGGATGCCTCTCCATATTTTCTCGCGTGTCCTGATAATTTCAAAATACCTCAAATATATATTGATAATCGCTCAGATATCTACCTTAGAATTCGTTTTGTCTCACAATACAATGTGCTTCATAAAATTAATATATAACTATTGCAACAGTTTGAATGCGATATAATATAGAAATGTCATACCTGACGGAAATATTTTGCTGAAATACTCTTTCAATTGATCTTATTTCGTTAATTATGTAGTTTTCAGTTCAATTCAGTAAATTTCGTAATATCTATTGTTTCAAAATTGTTTTCATCACTTTTCAGAATAATACTTTAACCCTTTTAGTGCCGGGAGCCGATATATCGGCTCCTGCTACACCGGCGAGAAGTGCCAGAGCCGATATATCGGCCTGCACCTTGTAGCGCTTTACTATTCGCATTGCGAGAGATCTCTATCAAAATAAATTTAAAATACGTTATAAATAGTCTAATTTCATTACGAGAGAATTAAAATAAATAATTTTTAAATATTGCTTTTCGTTTGGTTTTTATGAGCCTTTTACCAAATCCTAGTAAAATCGGCCGGTTATCTTCGCATAAGCACCTCTTTTTCGCCCGGCACTAAAAGGGTTAATTTTCATTCTATTTCATATTACATTGAATTTCAGGATGAAAATTATGATTTACCTCGAAATATTTATTATTATATGTATCAGTAATTTTTCTGTAACTTTTATCTCAATGTTCAACAAGTTCATAATATATACCAATAATATATACTCCAATACAAGTTAAAGTATACTGTTGAAATTTACTGAATTTAACTGAAAACTGTGTATATGGACAGAATGATAATGAAACAGAGTCAATTGAGAGAGAATTTCTGTGAAATTTTCAGCATTTCCACTAGGGATGGGTTGATAAAAATAAGTGACGTCAGACGCAGGTAACAAACGAACAAACAACTGAACGGAATTGTCTAATAATCTAACAAACATCAAGATTACAATTTATCATTCACCGACTAGGCCTGGACGCACCTGGACATCGCCGCCAAAGAATACGAGAAGATTAGACGTTGGTAGCGACTTCGGCCGCGTATAAAGTACATCGTTGCATCGGCCCGGGATGCCCGGTATATTTTTCCATATCCAAACTTTTGACCCCATTGATCGTCATCTGTAAAAATACAATCGCATGTAAATTTACGTACAGAATTTAATTCACCTCAACTGCGTTTCTCACACTTCTGTAATATATTCAAAGTTGCACGAATTTGTATTGAAAAAATAGATTCCGGACACAGAATAGGAAGAGAAGAATACGTAAACAAAATAGTTCTACAATGGGGGGGGGACCTGGTTAGTTCTTATTCGAGTTCAATATGTATTTTGGCCTATGGACGCAGCAACTATAGGTCTTTTTTCGACACTTTCTGCAGTAGTGCACACCAGTGCAAGGATTTTACACTAACGCGTTCTTTTTATCGAGAATGACGTCACATGACGTCACCAACGCTGTTCGTTTTCGCAGTGCAACAGCATGGGCAGTTTAGTGAACTGTTGCACTGAGTCAGGAGGTACGTGTATATTTATCTCTGTCTCCCAGATAAAACATTTTAGGTATGTTAACAAAGTTATTCACTGTCTTTTAGGAGGTTATCTTTTGTTAAAATACTACCGACTTACTCGTGTCTAGTTTATAAATAATTTTGCATTTTTCATGATATCGCGATGCAGCTACACTCTCACACATCGTCTGTAACAAATGAGGAAGCTCAAGAAATGTTAACATGGGAGAGCGACACGCCGTTCAATGTTAGAATTTCTATGTGTCAGTCTTTGTTGGTAAGAATGGATAACACAATAATAACTAATCAATAGTGGATAAGTTAAATTTCTTGAGGTCGATAAGTTCCCGGAGAGCGGTAAGTTACTAGAGTCGATATGCTTCCTGGGATCGGTACGTTTCCCGGGGCCGGTATGTAACTTTATTGCACATTGCAGAAGCAAAGTGAGGTTCAAAGATTCCAATTTTTGGATAGATTCAAATAAAGGACGGTACTTCCGACTTACCCAATGCAAATCATTCATACTATATACTCCAAGCAATCGATGTCATTAGGTTTGATGTGCATAACGAAGGTCTGAGTAACCTGCGTATTCTCATAAATTTCAAGTAGCTTAGCATTAAGTATGACAAATGTATCGAGGACTAGGTCTTTGAAAAAATATCAGCAGAGCTTCCGGAGTAATTTGACATCGCAGGCTGTGAAACAATTACTGAGAGAGGATTGGAGAGGCACTGTATAGAATGTTCAATCAGAAGAAATTGATTCTTACAAATTGCAAGAAATCTGCTGCATCAGAGCTAACTCGTATGATGTTAGAAGATTGAATGTCTGGCATGACTTGTAAGAATCTGTGGAAATATAAAAAAAATAATGTTAAAATAATGTTAATTGAGTCACTTTTAATAAGATTACAATTAGGAGTAAATACTTCGCAGAAAGACTCACCTCTATTTATATGCATTATGTACTACTTGTATAATTTCAACTATGCTGTAAATCAATTGTCATTACTTGAATATTAAAGTAAATAAAATATTAGGTAGTAAAAAGTAACACAATTAGGTAGTAAAAGTAAGTTGTTTCAAGATATAAACTTCTTTCCAATTTATTTTACATTGGACGTTTCTTTATAAAATGTAAGTCAGATGAATTTATAATACCATGTATCGAATCATTTTCATTGTTACAAAGAATATGTTCTAAACAAAGATGATATTCCATCAAAATGTATTTGCAATTTATTATCTTCTGGACGTTTTCTCTTACAAAAGATAAACGTCGCTCCATAGTANGTCATAAAATATAATTTAGCTGAATTTATAATACCATATATCACATAATTTCCATTGTTACAAAGAAGTTTAACATGTTGTAAAAAAGATGATATTTCATCCAAATGTGCTTGCAATTTATTACCTTCCGGACGTTTTCCCTTACAAAAGATAAACATATGTGTCGCTCCATACTCTTCTTAAGATCAAGAACTGTCGTGGTGGAAGCCATGGTGAAACAAAAATTATATTATTAGGATGATTGATCAATTCAAATATACAAGTATATTAATGATAAATTATTATAAACATCTCAAACATTAACGCAAGGTTTGGCAATTTTCCTCAATTTAAGAATAAAGTTATAGCTTGTCCTTCCTGTGATGTAAGTTCTTCTGTCGTAACTATCTGAGATTAATGCAGAGAGCAATGGATCATTTTCAATTTTTCAACATTGTCAATTGCCACCTTAGTTGGTCCTATCAATTCTT